TATCAGTTTTTAAATTTAAAATAACAATATCTAATAATAGAAAAAATGTATGTATCTGTGAAATTATATCAATAGATTCGATTAACATTACATAATATAAGAACCTAACCTAACTTCTTTTTCTAAAAAGAAAATTCGAAAAATTGTTGTGTTCATTACATACATTTATATACATTTTTTATAATTTTTTTTTTAGTTTCGAAAAATGTTTGTAAGAGATATGATGAAAAAATAAAGAATTATGGAAAAGTAGGAATATTGATTGTTATATTATATTTTAATGTCAACAACTATTGATATATCTGATTACAATGAATTGTTTTTTACAAATTTTTGATTAATCGATTTCTGTTTATTCCTGATATTATCGTATCTGATGTTCTAATAATAAAAAATTAAACTCTGGTAAGTGATATAAAAAATTAACTTTTTTCATCAGAAAGAATTTTATTAAATTTTGGAAAACGATGTCAAGATTCATAATTTTATTCTTTATGAATTAGAGCTTAAATTATTTAAAAAATACAATATTATAATTAGATATAATCAACTTTTAAATAAATATCAATTCTATTGATTATGATTGATTCTTATATAAGTTATTTTTTTGAAAATAATTATAATTCATAATTTCAAGAATAATTGATTCCAACAAAATAAACAAACAATTTTTTTGTTAGAATATTTGTAATAATATATTTTGATAAAATGATATTTTTGTTATATTCTTATCATCAAAAATTGTATTTTATTAAGTATTTTCAAAATTATCATGAAATATTAATAGATGTCTTTTCTGTTCATTTTCGCATTGCAGTTTTAGATATCTATTTTATCTAAATATGAAGTGGACAATCATATTAGCAATCTTTTGCAATCAAAGTGATAAAGTTAAATGAAAGCAAGCGTTATATATAAGCGTTATATATTTTAATGAGTTAAATTTATTTTGAGCGATATTTTATTTTTAGGATATATATTTCTGCGTTATTATTAATTTGGTAAAGTTCCTGGAACATATACATATTCGAATTATTTGTAATAAAAATGCCAATAATCGATGAAATGAGAAAACTTATTTTTTTATAATTTATATGTTAAAAAAAATAGTAAACGAAATTCAAATCAAAAATATTTCAAGTAAGGTAAAAAAATATTTTCTTTTAATTAAGTCTTAATTATTTACATTGATTATATCAATCTAAAAATACAAAAAACTTTTAATTAATATTTTTATTTTTTATTGATTAATATTTTTATTAATTTTTATTTTATTTAGTTGAATGAGATAAAATTATTTTATTTAGTTAAATGAGATAAGATAATACGCTATATTTATGGTATATGCAAATAAATTGCTCAAAATTTGTCTATTTTATTAAATGGATATTATAAGTGATAGAAGTCTTCTCGTATTATATATATATTTATATTTTATTATTTTGCAACGAAAAATTCAAATAACAAGTATGAAGCATGCAAATAACAAGTATGAACATGCATATATTATAAGCGAGATGTATAATAAAACGATCTTTTTACAATCTGCTTATCTATTGAAAGTTCCCCAATTTAATTTCTCTTTAAAGAGATTTTCATATAAGTATATGTATTCATCGGAAGAACTCAAAAGAATAAAAATAAGATGAACCATATACAATATATACTCGATGATCTATGAATATAAAAAAGATTATTTTTCTAATAAAAATGTGTATTACCGCAACATAAACTACAATAAATAAAAATAAAAAAAATAAATAAAATAGCAATAGGCGATATGAACATTGTATCATCGAAAGAATTAAACGATTCTATCAAAAGCTTTAAATAAATCGTTGTTATCTTATTTGCATAGTCAATATTAATTAGGAAATTTTTTTTTCACTACTTTTCATCAGAGAAATATTATTCCAAGCAATTGGAATGTCACATCACCATCGTCTTCGCTCAACTCATTCATAATATAAACGAGTTCCCACAACAGCCATTGCATTAAATTTAATATCGTCGCCTGCTTATTATCGTACTGCGTGCTTCTTTATATTTTTCAAAACATCTACGCGACTAAATATAGCGGTGCATGAAGCGATCGGACTTTTGTTGTGACGTTTCAATGAGCTGTTTCATTAATTCGTCTCGCCCCTCGGTAACAGATACTATCTGTTAATGTATATATTTCATAGAAGATTTCTGAAAAATTTTTGTCCTTTTCCTCTTCATTATTTATTTTAAAATGAATTCCTGTAAAATTTTCGATAATGAAGAATTTTATGCTTATTCGTTTTGTTCGGATTATTTTTCACTTGTCCTCGAACGAGATCGATAAAACTTATTCGAGTTACGAGGTTTATTGTTAGATTGGGACGTATTATTAATTCAACCATCGAAGGAAGGAGAATCGAATGGGATTTTTTTTCCCAGAGAAAGAAGAAAAATTAGCTTTATTTATCAGAATACATACTGAGACAAAACAGATTGGATAACTTGATATAAATAGAAATTTTTCTATTGCTCACGATTTTCCATTTTATTATAATCATTGCACATATATAAATATAAAATATATGATGATACAATCAATTCTTTCTAAATAATGAATATATTTTATGTAATAATAATTTATAATTTATATACATATTATCTAAATTTTGTGTGCAAATTTGTAAATTATAAATTTATATATTTTTCATAACATTATTTTTTTCTATTTTTTATAAGTGAGAAATATGTATTTATTTGAATGTAATATTCATGTAATTGTAATGATAATAGATTAAAAATATGATTTTAGTAAGTAAGATACGAATAAATGAAGTTCTACTGTAACTGATTCTTTCCGCAGCAAACGAGATACGCAATCAACTGGTAGGTAGACTATGCGGTGTTTACAATGCTTTTAAGACGCACCTTGTAAGCAAATATGCAATGAAGGCCATGGTAACAGAGGCGCAATGAATCTATTTTCATTTCGCATGTGTTATGCGTTTGCGCGTGCTATGAAACCTAATAATAAAATTAAAGAAACACAATGGAGCACGTGAAATGATTTGCAAATATCGACATGCCTTCATTGGTGAAACAAAATCGAATAATTTGTAGAGAAAGAGATAAAATTTCGCATTTCTGTCTCTGTATCTCTAAAAACTAGAGAAAAAGTTCGTTTTTCAAAAATATATCTAGAGATTAGATTAAATCTCATTCATTAAATTCTTACTAAAAGTAAATCCATTTTCGATATTTATATTTATTTATATTTTATATTCGTAATCAGTAATTTTTATATATACTTCTGAAGATACAAAAATATCAATAATCAATATTTACATCTTTCAATAGATTACACATACGAATATCTATGTACAATCTAAATGTTTAGATTCAAATCTAAACTTCCTTGATATTATATAATTTATAATCGATGATCGATTAAATTTTGGAAGTTTCAAAACTTTTAAAATTATATATTATAAAATTGTTATCGACTCAAAAATTAAAAAGAAAAAAGACAGAAACAAAAGAAGCAATCATTTATAATACATTTAAAAAATATACTATTAATGTGAAACAATTTATTTGATAGATATAAGTTATTGTTAATAATTAGAGATATACGATACATCGGTATAGAATATTTCGCACGTTGTTCCGCAAACAACTGATTTAGATGATGTACGTGAGCATCGTGCGAGATGAAAACGGGCCGCATCCAAATTAGCATGAGAAAACGTTCTGAAACAAGATTGAAATGTGTGGTCCAAAGAGTATAAGTCAATGTGACAAGAAGGGCCGTAGAAGGAAGATGGGTATCTAGAAAGATATCTAAAAACGGAATGTCATGTATCACTATCTTTTTATCAAATTAATATTCTATTTAAAATATAGTATACATGTACTATGTATATTTATTTCATTAACATTTTCAAAATGTAAAATATATAAAAGAAGAAAAGAATTTAATATACAACTGCATAGAATAATTGAAAATAATAATTGATAAACATAATACTTATGGTAAACTTTAAATGGAAATGTTCAATCTATATTATAAAATGAAATGTTGCATAACTGATTTTTATTATATTCAAATATAATTTTATCATCATTTCATGTTATGTTACCTTAAGTTAAAATAAAAAACAAGAAATTGAATATCGGACTTTATTAGAAGATTTTATTTCTGAAAATAGATTATTCAAAATCAGTATGCCATTATAAACATAATCCGCGAAGTCTTTCTAGATATTGACTGATAATATCATTTTTTTTTATAAATATAGATATTGATTATGTTAAATAAATGATTTAAAATGTTCGATGACTAAATTGTTAATGATTAATGATTAAATTATAAATAACAAGACGTTCTGAAAATTTTTGTGTACTCTGTATATTAAATATTTAATATAAATATGATTATGATTATTTCATTCAATTTTTCTCGCTTGGCTTAATCATATGTTTCAACTTGAGCGATAATAATTGATACCAACCATTTTTCTAATATATTTTTTAACAATATTATCTGGAACGGCACAATTAATATAAAATGTTACCAGCTAGAAAATCAATTATGATTTATGACTCAATTCTATTGACTTATTATCACAATCGGTTATGTTACTTCCGAGGCATTGGGTACGAACAATCGAGATCTAATCAAAGTCAAATAATTGGAAGAGGTTCGACCGATTTCTTCGCAGAAAGAAGTCCCCTGTAGTGAAGACGAATAATACAAGTAGTGACTTATCTAACATGGATGTATGTATCACGTGTACTATGTCAGTAATGGCAGAATACATCATACGAAATGTGAGATGCTCGTTAGTCTCGTTCCAGGTGGCTCGTTATCGTTGGTTCCAGTGTGTCAAGTATCACATAAGTTAGCCTCAACGTGTGACACTTGTGTAATGCCTGTAAAAGCAGAATTATAAAAGAAAAAAAAAAAAAAGAAAAACAAGGGATAAAGAAGAACGGAAAGGAATAAAAAACAGATTCATTCGATGAATGATCCATTGACGTGACCCGTTTTTTCAAATCTGCAAATCAACCCGGATGCATCTTAAAAAGATATCTTGTTTCTCGTATGCACGATCGATGAACAAATATTATACAGTAGATAATGATTTAATATTGACTAAAATAATAACAGTGATTTTTTAAAAATTCATATTTTTTTAATTTTTCAAAAGATAATTTACACAACAAGGAATTAAACTTATTGAATTTTATTTATTATTCAAACGAAAGATTTTTTTTATCGCTGAATTATTTTAAAAATTGTAAAAATTGATTCTATTCTGTTGAACTATTCTGTTCGACAGTTTTGACAGCATCAAAGAATATTTGGTCATTCAAGCTTTTGATAAACGATCGAACGAATTGACAACTATTGTAGAATTGTTACGCGACGTAGTAATTGAAGAAGACATACTTAACTGAAACGAATATAATATGCATAAAAAAGATTAAATTCCGGGAGATCGCGTTTCAAGCAAAAATGTTTAACATGGAATTAGCAGAATAGAAACGCGGCTATAATCTTGCCTTTGCGATGAGATTATGGTAATACAACTCGTTTGCTGCTCGACGTACGATGACATTTAGATTTAGTTGTCTTTTAGCGGCAACTGACTGAAAATGATAGAAACAAATGAATATTATATATTTTGATGAAAATAATATATTTGAAATTTGAAATATTTTTTTCATGATACGCAACACTTACCCAATTGCCATTTTTATATAGAGGATTTGATACAATTCTATAATAATCGATTGATACGATGGAATGTTATGAATCTGTTTCTTATTTTTCAAATGAATCTTCTGGTTGTCTGAATAATTATTTGTAACAATGAAAATCTGTAGAGAAAGGATATTTCGTATAATTATAATAAATTAGTTTAATCAATTTTCAGGTTTTTTATGTGATATTAGAAATTATAAAATAATATATAAAATTATCGATTCTAAAAAATGTATAATATAAAAAACAAATAAAAAAGAACTATGATTTTTCTCTAAGATACCGCGATACTAAATGATTCTAAAATCATTTGGAATTATACTGGATTTATACTGCTAGTATTAGCTTATAAATTGCTTATAATAAAACTATTTACGATAGAAATTTAATTATGACTTACGAATATATGTTATTCGTTTCATTTCACGAAAATTGTATTTCGTCATTGACTGATAAGTTTATACATTCTTCGAATCAAAGATACTTCATTATAACTTTGAAACATTTTTCATATCTTTTTTTTTTATCTGACTCATTAATTCACAATTATATACAGAAATAATTTGAAATTTCTCAGAAATTGAAAGTTTATTCGTCAATGTTCATTCAATGATAGAAGAAATGATATGTATTTATGTTATAATTATGTTATAATATTCAATTATGATATGTTATAATATTCAATTATGATACTATACAATGTATAATTTTTTTATAAAGAATTTCATGTGCTATCAGTTAAATATTTTTATAATAAATACGATCCATTTGTATTCAGTACATCGAACGTAGAAAACAAACACGTTATTCAAGATACTTATGCTGATAAAGATTATTTCTAAAACTTAATAAAAAAGAACTTCCGTTGGAAATTTATCATTTTTGCTTATATCATTTTGATTATAATCATCTATTAGATAAATATATATTAAATATTGATAGTTATATCTAATATTATAAATGTGAATATTACATTAAAAAGAATCTTTATTTTCAATTGGATATTAATTTTTTATTACATCCATATTTTTCTCTTACATTTTTTTAAAAATGAAAATGTTTTTATGCATCTTGCATATTCAATTTGCAACTTGTTGTATATATATATATATATATATATATGTATGTATGTATGTATGTATGTTCATACATAAAAATAGAACTCGCAATGTTTTTACTCGTGATTAATTATTATTCTTAAATCAAATATAAATAGTAAATTCACACGAAATTAAAAATTAGTAGATATTCGATAATGATGTAAATTAAATAAGTAGCAAATAAGTAGTTTAACAACTTTGAAAGTTAAATAACTTCACAATTGATTGATATCTCATTTTCCTAAAAAGAGCCAACACTTATCACTTCAAAAATACACATTTCTCAAGAGAGTTAATATTCATTCAATTTCACTAACATTCTCTTCATAAAACACTTCCAAAAAATCAGAATTGAAATCATACTTATCATGTCAAAAAATCTTATTAATCTTTACTCGAATCAAGTTTTAAGTGATCAAAAAACTCGATGTAAATATTCGTCATTATCATTTTTGTCATTACCTAAAACACAAAAAATGATAAAATGATAAAATCACGTCTTTAAATCACGTTTCTTATATCAAAATATCAAAAACTTTTATTGGAGTTAAGTCTAAACAGTCAAGAAACCCGTTTGCAACGGTAGTTTTTGCACAGGTCGGCTGATGTTTGCGAACTGCAATCCTCATCGCGGGAACACGTGTACAGAGACGTGGTACAGAAAAGGCGAAAGAGCGATAGAGAGAGGGAATGAACGAGCGGCGGGGCGGTTTCGAGAAGAAAAGGATTTCAAGCTGTTCTATCGAGAGTGAGCGAGTAAGAAGACGGACCGTCCCACGACGGGTTTGTGGTGGGGTGTCAGCTGCGGCTTATCTGGCGACTTTATGTATATTACGATGCCCAAGGCAGGAACACGAGCAGTTCACTGCTGGCTAACTGGTCGGAGAAGTCGGTAAAGCCGAGTCTGAGCCCGACGGCCCGGTTCATCGAGAGAAACGTGTTCGAGAACTAGCGACGCCGAATTAAGACCTTCGACGCACGTACACATACATACCTACAGATATACAGATACATATCTACATAAATACATATATAAACATATATAAGAATATATATATATTTATATATTGATATATATATATCTATACATTTAAGAAAAAAACATTAATTTGGAATACAATCAAATTATTACGGATACGTACACGCGTGTATACCGGTCAGGTGCGCGAAATCGTAACCGTAGTGGAAGTCTGGATGATCCGAAATTTGGCAAGTTGATCAACTCGCTATCAATACTTCTCAGTGATCACTACGATCCAGGATGATTGTCCTCGCGTGGTCTTTGTTCGTGCTGGTCTCGTTACTCGTCGCCACTAATCAAGCCTTTTTTGCTGCTCCTGCACCAGGTATAGACATGTGATTATTTTCTCTTCTTTCTGTTTATTTTTTTTTTATTTTATTTAAAATCGTTCTTTGCGTTTAAAGTGAAAATAATGGTGAACCGTTACTTTGTCACGTGATTTCGTTTATCGATATGATCGAGAAATTTTAGACATATCGATAAAGTGGTTTTCGAATAATTTGACAAGAAATTGATGGAGGAAACAGTCAACGTTCTCATACGATATTTCCGGCTGTATTTCCGTGTTGACGAGAAATTGGCTCACATGTTTTTAACCTCGCTCGTAACACAGAGAGGCGAAAACTTGTTTCAATAGAAGTTTCTGGTAAACGGTGTGACTTTCTCGCGTGTTTGATAAGACAGCGAGTGTAAACAGTGATCGGCGAGACCCGGGTCTGTTCGGCTTTCACCCGAAGACCCACGCGGATTCGTACGGTTTCGTGAATGAATCGCGACTACGATTTCGTGATGCGTGGTTTGATCGTGTGTTTCGATGTGTCATCTTTAATCCTCTATAAATAGGATTTCACCTACTTATGAGAAATATAGGTTAGTAATTAATTTTAGATCAGTTTTTAATTTCAGATCAGATTTTATCAGTTTTCATTTTAAGCTTTTTTTTATAAACGAATTGTTTGTCATTAATATTATAAAATATAAGATATATATAGAAAATATATATAATAATAAGATAAATATATATATAGTTTTTTAAGTGATATGATAGTACAGAAAATTAATAATTAATTGCCAAACTTTATTTTGCCTGTAATATTGAAGGATTATTATTTATTTTAACACAACTTCCATTAATTTTGACATTGTCATATAATCTCTATAGTTATATTAATGTTATATATGTCATTAAAATCTATGTGACAGCTAATATGATAATCTGCATGTTATGAAAATAATTTTTTTAATTATTTATGAAAAAAAATTTCACAAGAATTATTTCAATTTTTTTTTAATTTTTTTTCAACTCTAATAAATAAAAAGGATAAATTTGAACGGTTTATATACAAAAATTTGTAGTATTTTTAAAATTAAATATATATAAGATATAATAACAGATATTATGTTGAAGATTTATGGAAATTTAGTTAAATTTTAAAACAAAAGAAAGAAGAAATAAAACTTTCAAAAATTAAATTAATATTATGGTTCTTCCAGTATTATCATAATATTTAATCATAAAATTATATACGATTAAATTAAATTTAAATACAATTAGACATTTATTAAAAAGAAAAATCTGATAAATTTTATTCAAATATACAATTAATTCATGTAATTTAATCAAAATAAGATATTAAGTTTTTAATTAAAGTATCCCTTCATAGTTTATAAAATAGTAAACTAATTAACATAAAACATAATTAAAACAAAAATATACGATTTCAATTTCATCTTTTCAGTCATGTTGTTCTCAAAATCATATTGAAGAGAAATTATACATTACGTTTTCGTTATGCTTTTACAATATGTTGATCATTATCAGTTTTAAGATTTTCGTTGGCTAGCTTGAAGAGATTGAAGCAAAGACGAGAAAAATACGTGATTTGTAATCTCTGATGAGATTGTTCGAATAATCGGTCATATCATGATTGATTATGAGTACGACGGAATATCTTTTCATTGATTATATACTTGAATATTTATATTTTTTGTAACCAAATTTATTCCAATTTATTTTTTTGTGTTTAACATATCAGAAAAGAATTAGGATTAATCAGAATTTTTATTAAACATTGAACAGAATTTTTTTAATGAGTTTTTTAATGAGAAGTAAATAATTAAAAATATCTTATTATATATGTATATGTTTTATTATTTTATTCAATATAAGTTTAATAGAATAATGTTTCAATTTTGGAATCTTTTCTTTGTTCAAATTAATTAATTTCCGAATATAATATATTGATTTTTGAAAAATATTAACTTTTTTTAAATGCATATTTGAAGACAACAATTACACTTATTTTTACCATTTGCATGATAAAGCGAAAATTCAAAATAAATCGATTTTTGTATAAATTATAAATAGAAGATGTTGAGATGTAAATTTTAACTTTAAAAAAAATTTAATAATTTTTTATGTATTATTTATGGACTTCTTTCTATCTGTATTCAACAATTAAACAAATTTAAAATTTTTCATTGTTTAAAAATGAACATAATATAAAATAAACTTTAAATCCAAATTGTTGAATAAAAATAATGTAAATAAAAAAATTACACTATTAGCAATTAATCTTTTTTGAAATATAATTATTTGTTTCTTAAAGATTTATTATAGTTCCAGCACTTGAAAACAGAAAATAAAATAGAAATTTGATAGATTATTAATGAAATGTCAGTCACATAGAAAAATAAAATCGTTTATATAATTGAAAAATAATAAATATCATGATATTCCTTAAATCTTTTGTTAGAAAAAAGACGTAAGATAAAAAAAATGCTGCAATTTCGAATATAATAAAGAACAAAAAATATAAGATGTGTAAATTATGAGCCACGTGAACATCATGAATTTCCATTTTTAACTTTTGATGTTTTTTTTTTTTTAATGTTGTTTTAGCTATAGTTATTATTTAAAAAAAAAATAAAAGAATTAAAAAGAAAATATTATTTTATCTGCAATGTTGCAAAAAAAAAACTTTGGAAAAGAAGTGAAACTTGTGAATTACGTATTAGATAGTTTGAACGTCACGAGTTTTCACAGCAAAAACCAAACATTTCTTAAAACTCTTGTCATGTTTTAACATACCTTTTTTAATTCTTCTCTAAAGGATTTATGAAAATAAGCGAAATAATTTTAGAGATAAAATAAAATCTATAGGAGATATAGAATATTTTAACAATATACATAATTTTACAAAGTGCGATGAAAAGATTTAAAGCAAAATTTATTCGATATGAATGAATAATGTATAAATTATATTAATAATGAACTTCTTAGAAATATTATCTTCTTAATTCATTTAAGTTAAAATTACTTTAAATTCACGAAATTCAAGTTCATTTTAATTCAAAGTGAACTTGATTTCATTATTTTAATAATGAAATAACACGAATAAATTTTGATTTACTATTTTTTTCTATTGCAATCGTCGCAAATGTCTGAAAAATTATGTAAGATATTCATAAATTTTTTTTTTTAAACTGGAAATTTTTTGAAATATTTCAAATTTTTATATTCTTATGGAAAAATTCCTCCTCTTTCAAAATCCATTTTCAAGAAAATGAAAGGAAGAAAGTAAAATCATATCGCTAATAGATCATATCGCTCTTAATAGATAATTAAAACTTATATCAATTTAATTCTATTAATATCTTGTAATCATTTAAAAAAAAAAATTAAAATAAAGAAGATATCACGTATACCAAAAATAATTAATTAGAAAAATCAGGAATAAAAACGAAATATCACGTTTTATCATTTTCGTGTGAAACGTACGTCGACCAAACGTCATTCCCTAATCTACTTCACAAAATACTCGACACTCGACGAGAACATTCCCATTGCGCAAACATAAATATCAAAGCAAGCAAAATCAAAGTGCATTTCGACGGAATTTTTGTTAGGAAAGTGAAAATTGCGAGCGCGAATGCGTCTTTCGCTTGTTTTAAAAATCAAATGTATGGTTCGATAGAAGCAAACAGGTTCAACGTTTGTTCATTAATTATAGAACACATGAATAAAGAATGAAAATGAACAGAAAAAAAAAATAATTTTCGAAAGTCTTACATCTATAAATAAGATTATACATATATTGTATATATCGGTGCTCTTCATGCTATGCCATTAGATTTCTCTGTGAAATGTATGGACAGATGAATGCTTGTATGCTATATGATAAATGATGTTTTTGCATAACATACAATTGCTATACTTTTATATTAGAATATTTATATATTCTTATGCATAGAATATCAAAAATCGTTCTCAATATTCATAATTATTGAATTATTTCATTGTTACAGTTATATGAATGATATATTGTATATTTCGATTTATATAATTTGTATAATTCCTTTTAAGTCAAGCCAATGTAAATGATTTTCAATTGTCAATGATTTTTATCTGAGGAAAATTTCATCGAGCTAAGATGTTATCTAGTTGATCTTACATGTTGACAGAATAACGAGAGAGTCGTGAATTTGATTTTACACACGTTAATTACACATACACATAGGTTTGATAGGTAGTAGTTAAATACCCTGGTCCGATCGATTCGTTTACCTTAATTGTCGCTGGTTATCCGTTAATGAGTCTGTCAGCCTTATTGGCAGATTGCCAGTGGCCCTTTTAAACCCGCCAGCAAGCTTCGTCGATTGGATATTGTGGTGAATTGCTGCAGCTGCAGAAAAGGCTTGCATGTGCGCTTGCATACCTAAGGCGGGTCCGGCCTGGCCTATGTATCGGGGCAGAAACAATAAATATCGAAGTTGCTAGGGCTATGATAAATGGCAAAAAGTATATAATCCAGAAAGGGATGCTTTCGATTCTTTCGATCTTTTTTTTTTTTCTTTCTCAATTTTGGTTAAGATTTGTGTGATTTTGGTTTAGTTTTGCCAAAATAATTGGCGAGTTTAAATGGAATTAATTGAAATCGTAGTGAAATTAGCCACCAGTTTATTGTTATTTTTCATGTGTTATAATATTTATTTGTACATCTTGTGATGCATAGGGTGCTCTATAATTGATAAAAAAAAAAAAAAATTAAAAAGATAGAATACACAGTTTTATATAAAGATCTTCCACTACACAGAGAGTCGATGTCCTCAACTTCCGCATTGGTCAATGATCTACACTGAACGAGGTTTGACCATGTCCAAACAAGACGATTTACGTTCGATGTTACGATCGACCGCTTGATAACGCGAATTAGTCACAGGTCCGATTAATCGACGACAAATCAACCGGTATAGGATAATCTGTTCAATTATTCTAGACCATATATGTTATTGTTATTTTTCAATGCACGTCACACCATGATT